GCATCGTGCTATAAGGTACCAGGCGATAACCAGGGTAGTTGATCGATAGCTCGATGACGTCATTTCGTTGGCGTCTGCAATGGGAAATTCTCATAGCAGGCGTTGACGATGGGACGTTGTCGAGTTGTTGAATAGCAACTATCGTGGTAACTCACCGATTACCTGTCGATCTGCCAAATTTGGAAAGACGTCTGCATTGAATTGTCTCATATAATAATATTCCGCCCACTATATCACAAGAAATTGCGAGTAGCTGAGTGGAATGGAGATAAGTTAAGCATTGGGTACAGGACCAAGTCTTCCCTGGGTGGTGCCAAAAGATGAGCGCAATAGAATCATCAAGTTGCCATAAGGCACGGAATGAGTCTATTGCATGGCTGGGTAGTCAAAGTCTTCCATTCGTTAGTCATTTCAGGTGGATTAGAACAGGTTTAGGTTTAGGGTGGGCGTTGGCCAGATTTGGATTTTTCAGATGTAATCCTGGATAGGACCCTGTCATTGAACGTCGCGTGAAAGTGGAACTTAATGAAGGCCTAAGTACTTTTTCGTAGTTTTTAGTTTTCGGATTTGAAAGATCGTCGGTTACAGTGGCCTGCTTACTGAGCAGAAAAACGCGGTCCCAGGTCCTTACATATCAAAGAGATTTATGGTAAAATCGCTTGTGAATCGTGTATTTTGCGAAACTCGTTGTTGTCGTTGGTTCCGGGTTTGAATCGATACACAAATTTGAGCAACGGTATTATGTGATATGAGGGGCTCGGTGGCCTTAGAGCAACCGTTTTTGCTTACTGAGCAGAACATCATGAGTCTAATCTCAGGCCCATCCACATTCAAGATTCGGCAATCGTTTTATTTGTTAATATGACTACATGGTAATAACAGCAACTCGGTGATTAAAAAGGTGCTCGTCTGCCTAGTGGCAAACGTTTTTGCTTACTGAGCAGAAGACCGTGGGTTTAGTCCCAAGCTCCTTCGCGTTATATGATGGTTAGGACATCAATTCAGCTTATCGTTTACCAAAACGAACCCTGCTGCAAACCCAACCCTCTTATCCAACATCCCAGTGATTCCTCGTGGAAGTGCAGAGGTGTTCTCGGCTTCCATCAAAGCGAGTGTCATGTCAACACAATCCTTCCCATTCCTTTCTTGACCTGTGTTCGGGTGCGGCCGGCGCTGGTATTGCCTAATTTAAGATCACCAGTTTTTACACATTGAGGATGATTGCTAGTCCCAAGCATCGTCTATTGGTTCTCTGTGTAATTACAGCTGATCTGGCAGTAACAGAGTAGCAACCGTGGGCGGTCAATCAAGCTCAAGCTCAAGCTCACGGAAGTTATGCGTCGAAGTACTTCCGTTAGTTCGGTGGCCTTTCTGCAAGCAGTTGAAGCACCATCCCGACTTTTTCAGCATATTGTATTTATCACTCACATTCATCTTCTTAAAGTTCTCGGATTTCCACAGTTCGTGGTTATTTTTGCATACAGCACACTTTAGTTCATTTTTTGTTTCATTCTTCTGTTCATTTATATTCACTAGCGTGTGGGCCTTCATCACCGGTTTCGGCTTCACACTTTCCAATTTATTGTTCGTTTCATTTTTTTTTTTTTTCAATAATTCTGCACTGCTCTTGCAGGAACGTCATCGTCGCCATATAACCAACAATCAATACGAAACTAACGATTTTAAATTGGCTCACCACTTTAGTAGCCTATTGGTCCCAAGCAAACGATTAACGTACCCTATTCTAGTTGAAATTCTATTACTACACTATGTTTGTTTTGATTCGCTATGAAAGTTTGACAGATAACATCAGGGGTGTGTGGATTCATGCAGAACATGCAGGGGTGAGTGAAATAGCTTGGGACTGCTTGGGACCGTTGTTCTGGTACTGAGTGAGCCAAAAATAATAATGATTTTCTTCGGGACCCAGTGGTCTTAGAGTTACCTCTATGATATAACTGGGCAGAATTCCCGGTTTCTGACGAGTCTCCCAGGCTACTCTCGTAACTTTATCCTTTCGCTACGAAATCATGTTCACCACCATTTGCTCTCCGAGCCCTTCCAGCTGAAGGTTCAAGTTCTTCAGTGCTTCGATGTTCTTGTTGCACACGTCCAGCAATTTTCGGAGGTTTACGGAGTTGTGCTTTACGATATTCGGCAAATTGAACAAACACTCGGCATGCAATACAAAGAACCGGTGCGTTGAAGTTAAAATTCAATCAAAAGTACTTAAAGTAATCAATGCGTTTTGAAGTAGTACTGACGGTAATTAAAATTATCCATCCGTAATTAATGTAGTTAAAAGTATTGAAAATGTAATTAATGTACTTTAAAAACAAAATTTCAACTGTAATTAATGGAGTTTAAAATAAGTTAATGTTCTACATTGTGTAATTAATGTAATTAATGAAGTAGTTAATGGAATTAATTTAATTACAGCCGTTACCTGCGTTGGAGTTAAAGGTTAGGGGTTGTCCATTAATTATGTCACACATTTAGGGGGGGAGGGGGGGAGTGAAAACTGTGACGAGCCATACAAAAAAAAATAAGGTTCATACAAAAAATGTGACAAAAGGGGGAGGTGAGGCTTTGAAAATGGGCCAAATTTGCGTGACATAATTAATGGACCCCTTATTGCGCGCTTCTAGTGTGCTTATCTATGATAAGTCTCTTGTCTTCGAATCTCTCCGTGAGGAATCGCCAGGCAGCATCGTAGTTGTTATTGTTAACGATGTCCTGGTCTATGATTCCTGCTACTGGACCAACGAGTGAATTACGGAGATGGTAAAGCTTTATGGCCCATTCCTCATGCGTGTATCAAACCCATCAAAGGTCGGTAGCGGCGCTTGAAGTGGAGGTAGGAATGGCAAAGCTGATCCAAATGTCATCGAAGCGGGTGTCATAGCCAAGGGGGGGAGGTGGCTGTCAAATACGAACAATCGTCACCTACCTCGCATAACTGGTTCCAAACGTAAACAAGCCATAAGAAACCAACAGCGTTTGTTAACGTTTGGAACAAGTTTCATACAAGAATGATCAGTAGGCTGATTTGACAGCTTGTCCCCCCCCCCAGGTCATAGCCACAATTTCTTTCTTCGTATCAGCTTCCTTCGTAGCCTCCTCTGTCAGCATACTCAACCGGATCGACAAGTCGTTGTACATCGTCTCAAATTTGTTATTTTTCGCTACATGCTCGCCTCGTTGCTCTTCAGAAAGGGGCAGGGCATAAATGAGGTTCTGAAAGTCATTATATTCACTGTATGCCTGGTCAACTGTTTTTTGATGCAACCGAACATAGTGTAAGTTACGACTGTTCGTATTCGGTGCATCGTCACTATGTTGTATGGCACTTTTAACACGCGTTAACTTGCCCTTCACTGCCCCTCTCTTATGAGTGAGAGTTCGCAGCTGTTCCTCCATTTTCGTTTGATCCTGTATCTGCTGTTGTTTGGTTTCGGTGGTGTGTACAGAGTAAACTTGACACGAAAATTTCACTTATTCACGAGCGACGGCCATTTGCAATATTCGAAACGCGTTACTTCATTAAACCACCGCTTAAGCGGTGGGACCATCATCAAATATTTGTGAATCCGATAATCCTTATTTTATAAATAATTTCTATTTTCGACACATCAGCACAGCATGTTTTTTGCAATTTTTGTAAGACTTCATTTTGGACAGAACTTTCTATAATGCTGCATAGGAACACATGGTTTCATAGGAAAGCTAGAATTGAAAATATGTTTTTTTCAACATTATTGGGGTTGGATCTGTGCGTGCAGTCACCTCATTATGATCGATGTCCTATTTACGGTTATCCTTCTTGTCAGATTCCTCGAGAGTTCTCATGCCATGGCTGGTTCCTACCGGTTCGATCCCCCATTAGACTGGCCCACAAAAATAAAAGTTCAAATTTTACACGGACAAACATTTGTGCCTTTAGATTAGAAAACCATTCTCTAAAAGTTTTAGCTCATGGTTGTATGATGAGCTGGCGCTTTGAGTTTGCATTTTGTATGAGGATTTTGGATTACATTCATAAAAATTACACTTCTACACTCTACTAAAGTTAGTTAAAACAAAATCCTCCAATGTCAGCCAAAACACATGTAAATAATGAAAATGATATAAGGAAGAGCAAAACTCAAAAGCGTAAACCTGTCACCTTGTCCATCTGAACTATTCCAAAATAGAAAGCAATACAATATTATGCTTCCTCTAAGCTATTCCTCCGCATCCTACATCTCTCCAGCCTTAAAACTGCTACAAATAATAGAATCCCAATAATACAAATTTTGGTCACAATATTGAAAATATATCAACCTGCATTTTTTTGCTGAGATTGGCACCACCGAGCAGGCTCCAAACTACTGAGATCTCAGCAAAATTTATGTTTGTTAGCCGAGATCTCGGCAAAATCCCCGTTTGTTAACTGAATATCGGCAAATTTTTCACTGAGATCCAGCAAAATAGATTGCCGAGCTGCTCGGTTGTGCCCATCTCGGCAAAAAACACTAAGTGTGTCCACTAAATTGGCCATACAAATATTACTTCCTACATTACGTTGGCTCGATTAGCGATCACACCGCCGGATACTTGTGTCCTTCACTCGTTTTCTTTAGAATTCTCTTACAATTCTCACTTTTCCCTACGAGTGATCAGCCATTAATACTAAAGACAGGACCTCGGAAGTTGAATTAATCTAGTGATTGTTAATGCGTCAAAGACATATGTGTCGTATGGCAAAAGCACAGCGACTGCACAAGCAGGCCACACCGCATATGGGGATATAAGATGTTTACTTGGGTAGCCACGTTTGTTATTCATCGTTGCGATTTCGGTGAACAAAATTCTAAGGAAAAATTGCATTATTATCGGACACCTTAAATTTGTGTATGTAATCTAATGTATGCTGCCATATTTGTCTAAGGGAAATGCAATTCTGCCTATCTGTGTTTTGTAATAATCGATCGTATCTTACCATTATTCTCCCATTACAGCTCCAAGAAAATCTAATGCTTTCTTAGATGTACCAAATATACAGCACCTACAGATTGATGATCAGGATGATGATGATAATTATAGACTGAGAACTTTTAGCTCCTCGAAGCAGGGTAAGTATTGAGGACAACATTAAATGTATACTGAATAATAACACACCCACACACAAGACATTAGCATTAGCATTAGCATCGAACAAGTTGCACAATATCGTAGGTGGTACGAATTCAAAACTATTAAGAGCAAGACGGATTTCTGTAACTGGACAAATAGTAAGTAGGAAATAAATACTATCTCCCAGATAAAGAAACATCCCGCTCCAACAGTTAAGGATTGTCCTGGCCACGTCCTTACAACTGGTAGGGATAGGAAAGGTATGTTAGTCCAACATTTACTTAAGAGAGATGCAGAGAACTCTACGACCCCTCATAAATGTCTCGGGAATTTAGGAATTATGTTAGTAGGGAAGGTAAGCCATAGGATACACCCAGTCAGTGTTGCTAGCATATGTAGATATTTTTTTATAAATTTGAAATTGCTGTCTGCTGGAATAAAATGAAGATATAACATGGTGAACTCACCATCGTTGTTACATTCGTAGCTGAATCATAGGAAGGAATTATGATGTGTTGAATATATTTTTTTTTATTGATAGAGGGGAAAACCCGCGGGAGTGAAAATAATTTAACTACCTCTTCTCCCGTAGGCACAAAACCTCTATGTCTTTTCAACTTAAATCATAATCAGTTACAAATTTCAACAATAAAATATTTTTCAAGTGGAAGCAATAAAGTTAGCAGATTCAAGATGATGGATGACATGTACGATAGATGGCATGGCAGAACTCCCGCTGAGGAACACACCCACACACAAGACATACACACAAAAACGCGTGCGCATAATTTATACTCCAATGATATCATGGCATTTCAGTACCCTATGGTTTGTAAAATATGAAACCCGATCATCTCTATTTCTCAGTACACTTAAATGTACAAGAAAGGAATATTAAATATTATTATTATTATTATATTTAATATTAAATATTATATTACATTCTCATTTTTCGGTATTTCCCTCTCCCTCTCCCTCTCTCTCTCGGGACATCGACTTATTACCAGTGTCTGTTTTTATCATTTACTATCACATGCAAGGAGTATCGCTTCCACCCAGTGTCGATGAATTGTGTTTGTTTTGAACATCTTCGTACAGTGACTCAATTCCGAATTCGTACACCACCATACAGATTTTTCCTCCTAAGTTTCTAAAAGTCAATAAATATTTTTTAGACATTTTATGTATGTACAGTCATAGTCTCAAATGTGAAAAACAATGCATTATTTTTATTTCTGATAAAATGAATATTATTTTCTTGAAAATAATAAAAAATAGCATGAATGCCGAAAATAAACTCAAATCCATATTCGTACAGTAGGTCGTTGAATTGGGATATTAACCAATTTTTCGGTTTAATACTTCGTATGGTAACCTTTACTCATTGCTACTGCCTTTAGGCGTTTTGGAATGCTGTCTACAAGTTTCTGGGTGTATTCAGTGGGAATTTTTGTCCATTCTTCGAGCAAATGTTTCTTCAGATCGTTTTTGTTTGAAATATGGTGGCTTCTAACTTTTTTATCAAGATATTCCCAAAGATTTTCAATGGGGTTGATATCCGGAGATTGTGGTGGAGTATCAATAACTTTTGAGCAATTGTAAAGCAGCCATGAACGTACTTTATGTGCTTTGTGTTTTGGATCGTTATCTTGGTAAAACTTAAACTCTTCATTTAATCCCATTTTGCTGGCGCTTTGCTTCAAATTTTCTTTTAGAATGTTTAAATATACATTCTGATCCATTATGCCTTCGATGAAAACCAAGTTGCCTACACCTTTAGCAGACATACAACCCTATACCATTACCCCTCCTCCACCGTGTTTAACCGTCGGTTTCAGATTTTTTACATTCAGTTCATCGTTTGGCTTTCTCCAGACAAAACGACGACCATCTGAGCCGAAGATGTTGTATTTGGACTCATCAACAAAGATGACATTTGTCCAGTAGGTCGATGGAGTGTTTTCATGCTGTTTAGCGAAATCAAATCGAAGCTTTTTATTTTTCTTGCTAATGAATGGTTTTTTTCTCGGTACACGGGCGTTGAAGTTGTTCCTTCTCAACACAGAACGAACCGTTTCCGGGCAGACCTTCACTACATTTCGCTGATTCAGTTCTTTCGTGATGTCAACAGCTGTTGTTTTTGGATTTTCTCTTATTTGTCTCATTACAAATCGTTCATCTGCCGCTGTCAACTTTTTCCTATTTAAGTTTCTAGGAGAATCGGCAATCCTTTTCTCTTCTACAAACCGTTTAATGATGTACTGAACTGTTGATCTGGGTCTTTTCACCATGGTCGCAATTTCACTAAGTGATTTCCCCTCTTTATGGTGAGCGACGATAAGCTTTCGCTCCACAACTGACGTATGTTGACCCTTCCTCGCCATCGAAAAGATTTGGATCCACAGCCTTTACTTAACAGATGCTATTGAGTGAAAAAAAACCACACTTAGTAAGGAAAACAACTGTACGAATTCGGGATTGACCTGTTTTTCCGTGTTTAAAATATGACTCAACGCGTAGGAAACCAAAACATGATTTTTCGAATGAAACAACTACTGCGCAATGATAGATGGTAGTCACACTACTACATCCACACCATGCCTTTAATATTAGATCTTAGATGTAGATGTGAGCGCATGATCAAACCCATTAAGGGTGTACGAATTCGGAATTGAGTCACTGCACACTAACTTTAGATTACTGGAGTCAGTAAAATTTTACTGGGTTTTTGAATTGCGGATCGCCCAGTAGTCATCACAGAAATAATTTGCATTACCGAACTGTCCGTAAAGTCAATCTGTCAAAAATAACTGTTCATTCAGTAATTGGTTCGAGTTGCGTATACTGGAAAACCCAGTAGTTTCTTTTTGTTTATTTTGCTGCAATTTAACTGAAAAGACAGTTATTTGGTTCATTATTATACCGTGTTACCCAGTTAATTTAAAAGTAGTGAATTTGCAGTCATAAAAGCATGAATCCTGGTGCAATTCACCGTTTATAATATGCCAATTAATATGACGACTTAATCCCTTGACGTACCCCGGAATAGCGCGTCGACAGTGAAAGCAAACAATGCAAACATCCATTTTGTTAATCAAAATTTGTTGGAGATCAAGGAACTGCAAAAAGAGTAAATAATAATTGTTGGTACTAACGAAATAGTACTTCAATTTCGCTGTCGAGCTTTCTCAGTTCCGTCATGATATAATTCAAGTTTTAACAAAACCGCGCGATTAAACACTTGCTCCCGGATTTTACTGAAGCTAAAATGGCGGCGGGAATAAAATTGACAGTTTAGAGTTTTACAATTCGTGGTCGGTAAAACAAGGTGGCTATTCTGCTGACCAGTCGGTAAAAAAATAAAGACTACTTTGTGCACAGTAATTATTTTTACTGACTTTTCGTGAAATCACGAAAATTTGGAAAATACCCAAGTAACAATTTCCAGTTGAAGAAACGCTTTCGTTTTGATTTTGTTCAGCTGCATGTTGAATAATAATTGCACAATGTGTTCACCACAACTTTTATAAAACCCTTGTTTACACTCGTTTGGAGAACCTATACAACTGCAACACAAAGGTGTTGTCTAACGTATTCAGTAAAACGTTTGCCCAAAATCAATTTCTTGTTGAAGAAACGCTTCCATTGTGATTTTATTCAACTGCATGCTGAATAATAACTGTACAATTTGTTTATTACAACTTCTGTAAAACTCTTGTTTACACTGGTTTGGAGAACCTGTTCAACTACAGCATTATATGTCTACGCGGTATAGGAGTAGAAGCAACTTTTATACAACGTTTATAGATACATATTTAAACTCAAGCTTTATTATTTTGGTGAAAGCTCTTATACAACGTTTGTAGACACTTCTTGACAGCTGCTTTGAAATTTAGTAGAGAGTAAACCTGAGAGGCGTTTGTTGCACTCTTTTATGACTCCTAAATAATCATTGTACAGCAAGCGGTGAAAAGCGTTTACAGCACTTTTCAATGACTCCTTAACAACCGGATAGAAGCAACTTTTATACAACGTTTATAGATACATATTTAAACTCAAGCTTTATTATTTTGGTGAAAGCTCTTATACAACGTTTGTAGACACTTCTTGACAGCTGCTTTGAAATTTAGTAGAGAGTAAACCTGAGAGGCGTTTGTTGCACTCTTTTATGACTCCTAAATAATCATTATACAGCAAGCGGTGAAAAGCGTTTACAGCACTTTTCAATGACTCCTTAACAACCGGATAGAAGCAACTTTTATACAACGTTTATAGATACATATTTAAACTCAAGCTTTATTATTTTGGTGAAAGCTCTTATACAACGTTTGTAGACACTTCTTGACAGCTGCTTTGAAATTTAGTAGAGAGTGAACCTGAGAGGCATTTGTTGCACTCTTTTATGACTCCTAAATAATCATTGTACAGCAAGCGGTGAAAAGCGTTTATAGCACTTTTTAATGACTCCTTAATAACCGTTGTGTAAGTACTCACAATATTCACAGATTAAAATTAATTTAACAATTGTTGTGGTACGCCAAAATAATTGCTTGTACAGTTTTTATTAATTTAATTTATTTGTGCACATTGAAAAAATATGTAATTATGCCATAATACACATTCTGTGATCATGGAGGAAGTAGTAACTAGCATCGGTTTAATCTTTGATTGATATTCTTTCGATTAATCTCCCTAATAATTAATTGAGAGAATTTATCTAGAAATGTTATCGTTGATTATATGATATATGTCTTAAATTAATGTTTGCATTTATTAATAAACACCTATATATATAATTTACCTCTACTCCACCGAGGGTTTCTCGAAGCAAGATTCGAACTCATGATCCCGGATTGCCAGCCGCTTCTGTTTCCATCTGCTCTATTCTTGAATACATATTTTGATCATATGAGAGAAGTATATGAAGCTCATCTTGAGTGACTTCTCTTGCAGTCGAATAATCATTGCCTTATGGTCATATAAACGTGCCTATCACTTGTGCTATTTTTAGCAACAAAATTGTGGTTGGTGGTTGGTCGAACGTAAACAATCATTTAAGAGTGCTCCAAGCAGCTTTTGAAGCTTTTAAGCAAATGGCAATACAACTACATTCTTGTTCAACTCTGGAAGCTATTATTCAACGTTTGATCAACTCAGGTGTTGTATAAGAGCTCCCAATGGCTTGTTTTGATGCGTTTATTCCACTTTCTATATAGCTCTTGTCAATCGGTTTAACTAAGGTGCTATAAAAGTTATCGTAGGTCTTATAAAGCATATAGTTAAACCAAACGTAAACAATCATTTAAGAGTGCTCCAAGCAGCTTTTGAAGCGTTTAACCAAAAAGGCAATACAACTACATTCTTGTACAACTCTGGAAGCTATTATTCAACGTTTGATCAACTCAGGTGTTGTATAAGAGCTCCCAATGGTTTGTTTTGATGCGTTTATTCCACATCCTTTATGGCTCCTGTCAAACAGTTTAACCGAACGTAAACAATCATTTAAGAGTGCTCCAAGCAGTTTTTGAAGCTTTTAACCAAATGGCAATACAACTACATTCTTGTACAACTCTGGAAGCTATTATTCAACGTTTGATCAACTCAGGTGTTGTATAAGAGCTCCCAATGGTTTGTTTTGATGCGTTTATTCCACATCCTATAGAAGCTCCTGTCAAACAGTTTAACCGAACGTAAACAATCATTTAAGAGTGCTCCAAGCAGTTTTTGAAGCTTTTAACCAAATGGCAATACAACTACATTCTTGTACAACTCTGGAAGCTATTATTCAACGTTTGATCAACTCAGGTGTTGTATAAGAGCTCCCAATGGTTTGTTTTGATGCGTTTATTCCACATCCTTTATGGCTCCTGTCAAACAGTTTAACCGAACGTAAACAATCATTTAAGAGTGCTCCAAGCAGTTTTTGAAGCTTTTAACCAAATGGCAATACAACTACATTCTTGTACAACTCTGGAAGCTATTATTCAACGTTTGATCAACTCAGGTGTTGTATAAGAGCTCCCAATGGTTTGTTTTGATGCGTTTATTCCACATCCTTTATGGCTCCTGTCAAACAGTTTAACCGAACGTAAACAATCATTTAAGAGTGCTCCAAGCAGTTTTTGAAGCTTTTAACCAAATGGCAATACAACTACATTCTTGTACAACTCTGGAAGCTATTATTCAACGTTTGATCAACTCAGGTGTTGTATAAGAGCTCCCAATGGTTTGTTTTGATGCGTTTATTCCACATCCTATAGAAGCTCCTGTCAAACAGTTTAACCGAACGTAAACAATCATTTAAGAGTGCTCCAAGCAGTTTTTGAAGCTTTTAACCAAATGGCAATACAACTACATTCTTGTACAACTCTGGAAGCTATTATTCAACGTTTGATCAACTCAGGTGTTGTATAAGAGCTCCCAATGGTTTGTTTTGATGCGTTTATTCCACATCCTTTATGGCTCCTGTCAAACAGTTTAACCGAACGTAAACAATCATTTAAGAGTGCTCCAAGCAGTTTTTGAAGCTTTTAACCAAATGGCAATACAACTACATTCTTGTACAACTCTGGAAGCTATTATTCAACGTTTGATCAACTCAGGTGTTGTATAAGAGCTCCCAATGGTTTGTTTTGATGCGTTTATTCCACATCCTTTATGGCTCCTGTCAAACAGTTTAACCGAACGTAAACAATCATTTAAGAGTGCTCCAAGCAGTTTTTGAAGCTTTTAACCAAATGGCAATACAACTACATTCTTGTACAACTCTGGAAGCTATTATTCAACGTTTGATCAACTCAGGTGTTGTATAAGAGCTCCCAATGGTTTGTTTTGATGCGTTTATTCCACATCCTTTATGGCTCCTGTCAAACAGTTTAACCGAACGTAAACAATCATTTAAGAGTGCTCCAAGCAGTTTTTGAAGCTTTTAACCAAATGGCAATACAACTACATTCTTGTACAACTCTGGAAGCTATTATTCAACGTTTGATCAACTCAGGTGTTGTATAAGAGCTCCCAATGGTTTGTTTTGATGCGTTTATTCCACATCCTATAGAAGCTCCTGTCAAACAGTTTAACCGAACGTAAACAATCATTTAAGAGTGCTCCAAGCAGTTTTTGAAGCGTTTAATCAAATGGCAATACAACTACATTCTTGTACAACTCTGGAAGCTATTATTCAACGTTTGATCAACTCAGGTGTTGTATAAGAGCTCCCAATGGTTTGTTGTGATGCGTTTATTCCACGTTCTGTATAGCTTTTGTGAATCAGTTTAACTAAGGTGCTATAAAAGTTATCGTAGGTCTTATAAAGCATATAGTTAAACCGAACGTAAATAATCATTTAGGAGTGCTCCAATAGCTTTTAAAACTTTTAATCAAATGGCAATACAACTACATTCTTGTTCAACTCTGGAAGCTATTATTCAACGTTTGATCAACTCAGGTGTTTTATAAGAGCTCTCAATTGTTTGTTGGGTAACGACTTTCTCAGTAAATAAATATTCTGTGTACAGTATTTTGCATCAAACGATACCGAAGTTCAGTTTGTGTTTTACAGAACATCGGTTATTCACCTGATTTAAACTGAATTTTCAGTAAATCTTTCGTTTTACCGTTTAAGCCCAGTACAAAAAAATACCGAACAACTAAATGCTGGATTAGTGTGTGTAGTTACGAAACGAGCGAAATGAACAAATGAGTTTATTATACATCAACGAATACGCGTTTATTGATAATCACCAGAGCTCAATTATCAAACCCAAAATTGTCAAAATCAGAAGTGATCCTCAAAAGCAAAATAATCAACGACATTTTGGGCAAAATGATTATTTTGAATATTGTCGACCACACTGCCTAAATCATCGATATTATCATCAGATCAGCTTGAGGCAATAATTTGCCGTCGACTTATGTCTAAAAACCACGTTCTTCAGCGCTATATTTGTTTAAAATTAAAATAATCATTTTGCATTTGATCCTCAATATCATCCCGACAAAGATGAAGACGAATATCAATATTTACAACAGGTAGTTGGTCTACCTGTTAAGGTTTTCTTCATTTTCAGCTAAATTGAGTGTAGAAGAAAGGATTTCTATCAGCACTGCTTATTACAACTACCTACTTCTCTCCTTTCCGCTCTCAGAATTCGCCAATTCGGTGTCTCTCGTTGTGTGTTCTCCTCAGACTGAACAATATTCGATACCGCGAAACATCTCCGCAGTTATGTTTTCTTTCGGCGCAGGAGATGTGCGGTAATCGAAAGTTAAGAATGTAGCTCAACATTTGCAATAACATTCTACAAAATTTTCATGTGCGCTGAACGTACGAACGAATAGGGCGACCATAGCGCATTTTAAGAAAACGTCACAAGTTTTTATGGCTGTTTTAAATCAATTATTACGAAGAAACCATAAAGCCTACACGGTTACTACCAAAGACACAAATCTAGGGAACTGCATGGAGAATGTTTTGTACAACAACTAAATTAACAGTAATGAAAATTTTCAACTTAAAAACACTAAAATGTATGAAATTTCACCAGTTTTTTTGGTACTTTCAACATTCTTTTCAATTTTAATTTATGCAGGGACAGATTCCGACTATTATCCGGAGGATTTGATTATACGGAATGAAAAAAAAATCGATACTCCGGATAATCGAGTCCGACCTGATCAGCTTTAGTCTGGTGGTGATAGCTCTTGCAGCTTTTGCAGATTCAGCAACCCATTTCAGGTTACTTTCACTTACAATAAGCCCCGCATGTATGTATTACCACTATTAATTACATCAATTAGTATTACATGTTCTTTTGAATCTTGGCACGATCCTCCAATCCATGGGTTCCGTAGATTTATTTTTCTCTACGCTGTTGTGCTCGGGCAATCCTACTTCGGAAGATGGATGGCTGAATCGGTGGCAGTTTCGCCAGAACAAAAAATAGGACCACTCACACTCGTGTCCGCGATATTAGACGACGACTATGAACAACAATATACACTATTTTCTCCTACAGTCGAAACACAATCTATTACATTTATATTTTTATTGTTTATTGCTTTTTTTTCAAGGCGTTGTTAATCGAGGAGATTCGTTTAGAAGACGGAGATCGCGGAGTAACAGCCTAGCACCTACCAGCCCTATGTATGCTCCAGAAGAGGTGCTTCCACCAAGCAATGTACCCATCGAATCGTTCTTTGTAGCTATGATCGGTGCCCCAGGTGTTGGCAAAGGAGCTCTGCTGTATCAGTTCCGATCATCTGAATGCATCAATGCATATGACACACGAGGTAAGATGCTGTCTATGTCTAGTTTATATAGAATCTTATGGTTGCACAAGGGATACAAAAGATGTGTACAATGAACAAAAAAAACGCATTAGTTGAAACCAACATGCAACGTAAATTAATTATTTTATTCATATGTTTGAATGGAGAGTAACATAATGAGACTTTGTGTGGGTAAGTGGGTAAGACATACGTCAGGGCGTGAGAGAAGTAAAGTGCAAGCAACGCATTGAAAAATGGGAAAATTCACAAACTTCTCTTCTGAGGTAGGATTTTTTGCTTGAAACTTGAAAATATAGCCCATGTAGGAATTCCGATCGTCACCTTCACCGGCCAATTCTGCATCGACAAAACACTCGAACCGAAGATTGCTACCACCCCTAGGTGCCACAATTTGCCGAAGGTGAATCCCAATACAAAGCTTCAAATCGCCAAGCTCTCCCAGCACCTTATTTCGCCTTTTTGGCTACATACGGGTTTCATCAGAACTTGCAAACACTTGTTTAGCCGTTGTTCAGCTGTATATAGTCAAAAAGGCAAAATAACAGGCCTATGGTTACTTGGGCCGTTAACTTTTTTAACTCTATTTGTTCCAAATTCAATATAAATTACATTTTATTTTAACCTAGGTGGTCCAGCTACTACAGTAGCTTACCAGCCTTAATTGTTATGATATATATCTAAGTGTGTTTACATTGTTCCTGCCTTGGAAATTCAGTATTTTAAACAGGTTTTTTAAACCTGCATGCAAACTAAAACTAAATCTGATCTAAGTATAAAGGGAATTAATCGTTGCAATTGAGGATTGCTACGATTTTTGCCTGAAATTATTAATTATGTTGTTGGACATTTTTTCTAGAGTCTCAACATTCAAAATTCTATGTACCTCGATAGTAATGTACCAGGGAGGCAACTTCAAACTCATCTTCAGAACTTTGTTCTGAGTCCTTTTACGTGCTTTTTTTCCTGGTCGTGCAATAACTAGACCATATTGGCACAGCGTAAAGCATGGCCGGGCTAAAAATTTGTTTAAATAGGGGAAATGACGGCTTCGGCATGACAGACTATTTTCGGCAACCCAAATTGAAACACTATTTTCACTGGATTTTCTTACGAAAACACTTCGCTGAATGCATGCAAACGATTCTTTATGCTTTCAGCTTCAATTTGACTATATTTTTACCACTGAGAAAAAGCAATCTAGCAAGGTTTTCTTGAAATGAAACACACGCACTACAAATTGTAGCTGATTTCGAGTTGCCGATAATAGAACAGCAGATTTACATGCAGTTCAAATGGAACGGTTGCCGAAGAAAAACTGGTTGCCGACAATACTCGCTCTCACTAGAGAAGATTGGAGCATTGTAAAAGCGTTTGAAAACAGTTTTTGACAATTCTTTCGACTGAAATTGTTAGAGCAGCTGGCAGCAAAAGATTGTAAACAAACCAATACTGCATATGTGTGCGTTCCATAGAGAAAAAGGCTATATAAAGAAGGTCGCTGCTTAGGTTGCCGAGAATACGTGAATTCCCCTATTAGAAGTTTATTCGTCAGGCAAAGTTTGGATTTCTTGTTTATAAGAGGCAACAAACATTTTATATATTTGTTACATTTGGCTTGAATGCCCTCAATGTGATCTTTAAAAGTTAAGTTTTGCTCTAGTACTAATCCAAGATATTTCACTTGACTTGACCAGGAAATTGGAACTCCGTTCATAGTGACTATGTGACTACTACTAGGTTTCAAAAACAGAAACAGCAGCAACAGAAACAGCAGCAAATACAGCAGCAGCAGAAGCAGCCGCACCCGTGGGAATGAAGGTTTGATTGCTAAATTGAAAAAGTTTAATTTTCCACTTTATATTATGAAATTAGTTCAAAATTATTTAACTGACAGAACTCTGCAGGTAAATTATCAAAATTCCAAATCTAATCGACTACCTGTTAGAGCTGGAGTTCTTCAGGGTAGTATTCTTGGGCATTTATTGCATAACATTTTCACTTCGGACCTCCCTGATTTGCCTCAGGGGCGCCACAAATCTTTGTTCACCGATGACACAGGCATTTCCGCTAAAGGAAGAAGTCTTCGTGTTATTTGCAGCAGACTGCAGAAAAGTTTAGATATTTTCTCGTCTTGTTTACAAAAATGGAAGATTTCTCCCAAAGCTTTCAAAACTCAACTTATAATATTTCCACATAAGCCTATGTGGAAATATTATAAGTTGAGTTTTGAAAGCTTTGGGAGAAATCTTCCATTTTTGTAAACAAGACGAGAAAATATCTAAACTTTTCTGCAGTCTGCTGGAAATAACACGAAGACTTCTTAAGCCTATGTGGAAATATTATAAGTTGAGTTTTGAAAGCTTTGGGAGAAATCTTCCATTTTTGTAAACAAGACGAGAAAATATCTAAACTTTTCTGCAGTCTGCTGGAAATAACACGAAGACTTCTTACTTTAGCAGAAATGCCTGTGTCATCGGTGAACAAATATTTGTGGCGCCCCTGAGGCAAATCAGGGAGGTCCGAAGTGAAAATGTTATGCAATAAATGCCCAAGAATACTACCCTGAAGAACTCCAGCTCTAACAGGTAGTCGATTAGATTTGGAATTTTGATAATTTACCTGCAGAGTTCTGTCAGTTAAATAATTTTGAACTAATTTCATAATATAAAGTGGAAAATTAAACTTTTTCAATTTAGCAATCAAACCTTCATTCCCACGGGTGCGGCTGCTTCTGCTGCTGCTGTATTTGCTGCTGTTTCTGTTGCTGCTGTTTCTGCTGCTAGTGGTGGTCCGTCCCCTCCAAAATTCGTTACAAGAATGACTTCAACGAGCTTAGGTAACCTATCAAAATTCTCTAACCAATGAGATTCCGTTTACATACGGACTATCACGCTTCACGCTCACTCGATTCTACTCATTATTTATTCAACACTAACTCTATCTACTACACCAGACACCGTCGAATGCTTTTTCTATGTCTAGAAGAGCAACTCCAGTTGAGTGGCCTTCAGATTTGTTTGAACGAATTAAATTGGTAACTCTTAAGAGTTTATGAGTAGTTGAATGCCCATGGCGAAATCCAAACTGCTCATCTGCAAAAATTGAGATCGTATTGATGTGAAGCATCATTCTATTTAAAATTATCTTTTCAAAAAGTTTACTTATTGAGGAAAGCAAACTTATTGGACGGTAGCTAGAAGCTTCAGCTGGATTTTAATCCGGCTTCAAAATTGGAGCAACTTTTGCATTTTTCCATTTATCGGGAAAGTATGCCAAATGGAAACATATGTTAAATAATTTTACCAAGAATGACAAGGTACTCTCTTGAAGTTTTTTGATGAGGGTATAGAAAATTCCATCATCACCTGGTGCTTTCATATTTTGAAATTTTTTAGTTATAGATCTTAATTCGTCCAAATCAGTCCCCCAGGAATCATCAAAAATATTATCCCGAGAGAAAATATTCAGATAATCCCGAGCAATCTGATTCTCAATAGGACTAGTAGGACCCAAACTGAAATTAAGGGAACTCTCGAATTGCTTAGCAAGTTTCTGAGCTTTTTCCAAATTTGCTCCGCTATCTTTCATTTTTGGGTCAACACTCCAGCAAGCTTTAGGTACTCCTGTTCCGTTACGCAAACGACAACTAAAGGGTGTCCACGATGAAATTGCCACACTATGAAATTGCTCTAACTTTTTAACCGTTGGGTAGAATTTAATGAAAATTTGGGTGGATTTAGTTCATAGTGCATTATTTACATCCTGCAAGTTTTAAAGTCCTGTGATCAAAACTCGCGGAAATGGAGTCGAAAGAACAGCTCGTGCGTGATAAAATCTTGCGCATTCATCACGAGAACAAGGATCTCTCGCATCGTTCCATCGCTAAAACGTTGGGAATCGCGAATTCCACGGTGTCGCGAGTGATTAAGCGGTTCGAGGAACGGTTGACCACCGATCGGAAGCCCAGAAGTGAAGGAAAAAGTATTCCGTACAACACCAAAAATCACAACCGCGTAGTTGGGGCCTTCAACCGAAATCCGAACACCTCCGTTAGGGATGTGGCTAAGAAGCTGCACCTAAGCCGAAGTTTTGTCCAGAAGGCCAAAACTAAGGCTGGGCTTCGAACGTTCAAGGTACAAAAGGCCCCTAATCGCGACGAGAAGCAGAACAAGTCCGCCAAAACCCGTGCCAGGAAGTTGTACCTCAACATTCTGACGAAAGTTGTATGCTGCATCATGGACGACGAAACATATGTGAAGGCCGACTTCAAACAGATCCCCGGCAACCTGTTTTTCACGGCCAAGGATAAGTTCAGCGTTCCGGAGCATGTCCGCACTCAGAAGATGTCCAAATTTGCGAAGAAATTCCTGGTTTGGCAAGCCATCTGCACGTGCGGGAAGCGGAGTGCACCTTTCGTGACCCAGGACACGATGAACGGACAGGTGTACATAAAAGAGTGCCTCCAGAAGCGGCTGCTTCCTCTCCTGAAGGCCCACAACGTCCCAACAATCTTCTGGCCGGATTTGGCCTCATGCCACTACTCCAAGGACGTGCTGAAGTGGTATGCGGACAATAAGGTCAATTTCGTGCCGAAAATGTTCAACCCTCCCAACACTCCGGAGCTCCGCCCCATCGAGAAGTACTGGGCGATTATGAAGCAGCACCTTCTTAAACGACCTAAGGTAGTGAAGACAGTCGAGGAACTGAAAAAAGTATGGGTTTACATGCGAAAAACGGTTGATTCACAGGTTGTGCAGAATCTTATGGCCGGGGTTAAGGCCAAGGTGTGGGCATTTGCGTATGGACTGTAAATAAAATACGAGTAAAATGGTAAAATGAAGTTTAATAGTTATTTCTCAATCCCTGAAAATTTGATGGCAATCGGATGAAAACTCGAATTTTGCGAATCAATTTTGTGTGTGGCAATTTCATCGTGGACACCCTTTATATCATCGATGTAAATTAATACAAACGTGTAAACTCTATCCACTATTCGCAAGTAAAGGCATGGATCTGCCGAAGAACGCCGAATACCCATGTCCTTGAACGTCACATCAATCCACACACGGTGCTTGTTTAAATCCGTAAATAGTTCGCTTCAAGCTGCACACTGCAAGCTGGTCACTGGGATCACCATTGGTGTACTCCGGTGGTTGCGTGATGAAAAACTCCTCCTGAAGTTCGTTGTAGAGGTACGCAGTTTTGATGTCAATGTGCCTAACAAGCATTCGCCACTTGCTCACGATTGTGAGCACCAACCGAAATGTTTTCTCAATCGGTGCAAACACTTGATCGTAGCCTTCAACTTATTTTTGTTAAAAACCTCGAGCGACTAACCTTCCCTGGAATCGCACGACTCGTCCAGATTCATCCTACTTACGCTTATACACCTACTTACATACGGTGCCGTTCCAACTGCTGTTGATGGCAACGTGTCCTGGCTATAGACCGCGGTGTTCACAGCCTCCGCCAAAACCGCCGAGCCTCCGATGCCACACGTGCTGACAATAGGTACTGTGTTGCTGATTGTTCACCAACATGGTTTTTTCATCTGCCACATTCCAGCGATACAGACCTCCAACACGATCTGCAGTCGCAATTACCGAACCATAAACTAACTGACACCGGTCAACGTTAAATTCCGCACGAACACCTTTACTCGCGAGTTTCGTAACGGAAATCAAATTTCCTTCAAGTCCAATAGCGAAAATTACACCCGTCAATCCAGACGAGCAAACTGTTTTTCGATATCACCGAGGCACATCTCCATACCCGATCTTGTAGTTCGTGATTTGCCTCTCTAACGCAACGTGGTATTTTCATGATGTTGCTTCAAAACGGGGCTTTTATCAAATTGAAGTGCTGGAGGAAAGCCCTGTTGCGTCACATTGCCATAGTATTATATTATTACACGCAGATAAATAAATTTCAATATCAACAATATTCTGTATTGAATGCAATAAAAAAAAATCGTTGCCTCCCGATAAACAATAAATATTGTTGACACCAACAATTTCTTTCATTGAATTTAAAAAAATGTTTTTTTTTAATTTTTTAATCATTGATCAAAAATTATTTTCTTTGAAATAGCGAAACAATTTTTGTTTGTAGAATCAAGAATTTGTATTCTGATTCTTTTTCCTTCAGTTTTAAATTAACAATGATGCTTTTCAATGTATTTTATGTAATTTAAGTATTTAATACATTAAACTTATTATAATACCTAAAATACAGCGAGCAGTTCGGTCTGCGGCTTTCTGCGATAGTAGCGGCCCGCAGATCAACTTTATGTGGAATATATCACGAATAGGTTGCCTGTAAATTATTGATTACCAATTTGCAATACATTCCACGTAAAGTTGACCGATAATACAGAACCATTAATGTACCTTACTGACAACCATAACCATTACCATTAAAGTTCTCAAACCATAAGTAAAAAGGTTCTAATATAGTCCTCTCTTCACGGGGGCAATAATCACGCATTTCGGCGGAGCTCACATCAATATGATGAATATACTGGGTGAGGATGACTGCAACAGACTACTCTTTCTAGCATTCAGCACTGCGATGCAAGTGTGAAAGAGTAAGCTGTTTTGTTCTGTCGTACCTCCGTCAGTTTTACACAGGGATGAACGGTTGGTTTGTTTTCCCACTAATCTGTTTCTCTCTTGTTCACACTTCTTCAGTTTAAATGGTGCTTTAGTGTGCGCCGTTTAAACGTCAAAAAGCTCTATACCCAAGAGTGTCAGATTATCCAAAAATGTCAAAATCATGTGAGCTATGGTGCATCTATAGAGATTAGTGACGTTTAACGCACGTACACTAGCGGGAGCAACGCCGTGTAAAGTTGTTTATTATTTTCCTCTGGCTAACCTAAACAATGTATGAAAGTAGATCTGTCAAAATGAGTTTGACATCGATTTGTTATGTATTTTCCTCGGATATTCACTAACACGCTCTCACATATCGCACCAATACAACCGGACGTGAAAATCTCTATATGTGGTTGACAGGGATAGGGACCCCCTGTCTCTCTCCAAAAAAAAAAAGTAATTTCGAAGGAATCGGTGGAAGGAGAAAATTACGTACCGTGCAGACTTGTATTAAAATAAGTAACACAAAAGACGTGTAAAACCCGTGCGTAACCCTACGAGCTCCTTTAATTTCAATAGTTTGATTTCCACATATGTCATTTTCATTTACAGAATCTCCAGGACAACAAAACATTTCTATAATACTAAATGGGGAGGAATCTGAGCTAAAATTCATCGCCGATAGTGCAGACAACAAGGTAAGCCGTATTGACATTTATAAACCAAAATTAAGATTAAAGTTTAGTTTACAATTTAAAAAATGGGACACAGTATTTGCATATTGTCACTGTTAGCTTGAAATAGATGGAAAATCTCCTTTTCATTACATTGTTGCTTTTCTTTAGATTCTGTGGCAAGTACAATTATAGAGGTAACTCTAAGACCAAAAGGTCCCGAAGAAAAGAGCTCAAATTTTTGGCTCAGCTCTGGTACTACTTCGGTCCCAAGCTAATCGATTCACCCCTCGAAACTTAGGAAAATCCACTAACCCCTCATTTTATCTGTCAAACTTTCATAGCGAATTAAAACAAACATAGTGTGGTACTGGAATTTATACTAGAATGGGGTACGTTGTACGTGCTTGGGACCAATAGGCTAGTCAAGTAGTGAGCCAATTTGAATTCGTTAGTTTCGTATTGATTATTGATTATACTCTATGTCCAGGGATGTCGAGAAATGTTTCAACCCAAAAAACTCCTAGACAGGATCGGGAATCGAACCCAGCCGCCTGCAGCATTCTTCATAGGTGTGCCTTTATCTCAAAGCCTAAAGGATCCATGAAAACATTTCAATGTACAAAATTTGATTTTATTTTTTTCTGATAGATAACGAAGTACAGGATAAACATTTACTTCGGCCTAATCGCACATTTCGTCCTATCAAAAATCAGAAAATATCGATTACATCCTGATGAATGTGGGCGTCTTAGTGGAATACCTGTATAAAGAGAGAGAGAAGGATTTGTAATTTCCATTTAATTCCACTATCTTATTTGCTTATCCTTGACAGATACGCGTATTTCGCCTACAATGCGCAGACTTCTTCAGTGTCTTGTACTTGTAGTCGAGTATTAGAACAAGACACTGAAGAAGTCTGCACATTGTAGCCGAAATACGCGTATCTGTCAAAGATAACTACCTACTCTGCCTAACCCCGCCAAGAAAACAAAAACTGCCCCCCACCATAAGGCATACCCAGACGCCTCGACAGGTCCATGGGTTGTTTTTTCCGGCCCAAGCAAAAACCGATTAACGTTAATCACATCGAAAAAGATCTATTTAAACGTTTCTCGTCCGTGACCGACATTTTGAAGGTGAGGCCAGACAAACTGTGCGTCACTGTTGGTAACCGCAAGCAGGCGAATGAGATCGTTTACATTCCCAGTCGTGACGTGGAAATCGAAGGAGTGGTCACCGAAGCGAGTTTGACCTGCAATGACTTCTTGAAGAGGGGGGTTGGTGTCTTCAAGAACCCCGTTCGTCCAGAAGTCAAGATTCTTGACTGCACCCAAATGCAGTCAGCATCCCTTGACGGGACTCGTTTCGAGTGACTTTTTTCGGATCGGCTCTGCCGGATTACGTCCGAATTGGGAGGATTCGACTTCCTGTGTGGTTGTTTGTACCAAGGGTGATGAACTGCACCAAGTGCAAACAATTAGGCCACACCACCGCCTTGTGCGGCAACAAGCCACGATGCGATCAGTGCGGCGAGAAGCATACGGAGGGTACTTGTGGTACTCCTCCCAAATGTGTTTATTGTTTGGCACCTCCGCATCCTCTCGCAGATTGCCCGAAGTATAAACAGCAAGGAAAAAACTTGAACGGTCTCTGAAGGCGCGCTCTCAGCGTTCCTTTGCGGAGATCTTGAAGACTTTCAATCCTCCTCCCAAAATCACTCCGGAAAAAGAAAACAATAATCCGTTTAATCTTCTTCCAGTTGACGAGGACGACACTGACTCAGAGGGCAATGACGGAAAGGTCCTTCAAGGAAGCGATCCAAGAATGACTCGCAGAAAACTAAAAAAACTGACTCCCAAGCCCCTTTGGATAAATCAAGAGGTCACGGAAATAAACCGAAACCCAAAGAATTTCCGGGGCTTCCGGGAACATCTAAAACCCCAGATGTCCCAGTTTCACAACGAGAACAGCAGAGCGCCATGTTCACGCTTTCTGGGATTGTGGACAGCATTCTCGATCTGTTCAACATCACTGACCCTCTACGGAGCATCAATAACATGATGCTTCCAATCGTGAAACCTTTTCTGAAGCAATTTGTTTCCAAGTGGCCCCTTGCTTCATTCGTATCCTTCGATGGATAATTTTCCAAAAAATGATACGGTATCTCTCCTTCAATGGAATTGTAGAAGCATTTTACCAAAACTAGAAATATTCAAATTTTTACTGCATGACATACACTGTAATCGTTTGGTCACAAATTCAAAGGTTTTTGTCATAGGGTAGCGAACTACTTCGGCCTTATCGCCCATTTTGGGCCTATCGAGCAGAAAATATCAAATAAATCCATGATTTCAGAGTTAACAAGTCAATTATGTATTTGGTACGATACTTTAGTTAATAAGCTACCGAACGAAGTCAATGAGAACGCGTGGTATGAAGGTTTGCACCTATTATTCCCAAAAACAAAAGAAGCGCTTCGACCGAATCAATTTTTATCATCATCCGATAGGCCGAAGTGAATTCAGTGGCGTTTCAATGGCGTTTCAATGCGTTAGGCCGAGTTTAGAATCCGTAGGCCAAGTTTGGCGTCAAGAAGCAGTGTTAGACTTTTGACAATATCTCAACGATTGGTTTCTCTTTATCAAATCTTACGGTACGTACGGAAAGGTAAATAAATTTGGAAGCCATCAGTAATAATAACATTCCGTTTGGTGCTAAACTGCGCTAGATTAAGAAAGACTAAGTGCGGGTTGTGTTTAATAGGCCGGAAATGGGGTAATTAACCCTACATGTTATATATTCAGAACCTTCACGTTTCTTGTGCAAAAACAGCAGTATACCACAGAAGTGATAGGGTTCTGTACCGCTGTGAAAATGTTGTGCCGTTACGTTATGTCCACCATAAAGCTACTAACAACTATACAAAACAAGGCTGACGGGATGAAGGAAAATTGGGAGAAAGAACGACCATTGCCCAAAATCGGCCTCTTTCAATATCAGGCGTCCGTGTGCTAAGACGCATTTCAATTTGCTAAGTGCAGTGGTTGGTGTTTTGAACGATAACTAGGAGACCAACACCCCCCCTAGCAGCAGCTAGTGTGCGCTAGGGAAATTTAACGTTCAGGTAACTAAATACCCTGCACTAAAAACCGTAGATTAATTACGTATTCGTCCGATAGGACCTCTTTTTATGTTGGACCTTAAAAAGGTTTTCCGTCAGCACACGGCCGGCTCGTAAACTTGGAAACAGTTTCCGAGCCCAATTGTCAAGGGCCAAGCAAAATTATCTGGCCAAACGTAGGCCATAATCCTAAAGGAGTTTTCCCTTCTCGGCTTGACCAAGGTGGCCTTGCCACGGTCGGCCGATCGTGCCAACGAAGGATGACGCCTGCCATCCCACTGTCCAGCAACGCCCGCTGGCTTGTCATCCGCTCGCTTCACCAATCTGGCGAGAGTTCCGGCCGCACAGTAGGACAGGAGTCACTGTGTCGGCCATCCCGATTCACCATCAACGGCAGCAGCGGTATGTACCGGTACAGCGAACAACGCGATTAGGCTACACGACACATATTACACAAAACTATGAACACAGAACAACACGCACATAATACAGAAAGTGGCGAATAAATGCATTTAAAGAAAAGTGAAAGTTCTTCGTTTTTGTATCGCGAAACCCTCTGATTACCCGGTAGCTAGCCAACCATGGGTGTTCCGGAGCTTGCTCTTGTCGCCTGAGTCGACCGGGTGCTGTATGTTTGATCTCCGAGTAGGTAGTTGGTGAGTGCTGAGTTCTAACAACAGTTATAACACTGTGATGCGTTTGCTCTCTGCGAAACATGGCTTTCTCCAGATGTTAACCTTTCTCTTCACGACTACAATATTATGCGTCTAGATCATGCAGATTCGTACGGTGGGGTGCTCCTAGGGGTCAACAAACAACACTCATTCTACAGAATCGACCTTCCTCCAGTGTCAGGTATTGAAATTGTCGCATGTCAGGTGAATATTAGAGGTAAAACCTTCAGTATTGCCTCGTTATACATCCCTCCGAGAACGGCTGTTTCTCGGCGAGCGCTATCTGACATCTGCTCAGTGCTACCTGAGCCGCGGTTTATCTTAGGGGATTTTAATTCCCACGGTACAGGCTGGGGAGAGCTGTACGATGACAACCGCTCAACCATCATCTATGACCTATGCGACGATTTCAATATGACCATTCTAAACACCGGTGAAGTAACTCGAATAGCCGAACCTCCAGCAAGAGAGAGCAGACTAGACCTGTCACTCTGTTAGAACTCACTATCATTGGATTGTATGTGGGAAGTAATCCAAGACCCCTATAGTAGTGATCATTTGCCCATAAAAATTTCGATTTCCAACGGTTCATCTTCACAGTGTCCAATCAACATCGCGTACGATCTCACGAGAAACATCAATTGGGAATTCAGAATACGCGAACGCGGTTCGTGACGGTTCAGAATCGGTTGACGTTCTCTCTCCGTTGGATGAGTACTCCTTTCTATCGCGGCTCATAAAGGATTGCGCGCTTCAAACACAAACGAAGCCTGTTCCTGGCACTACCATTCGCAAACGTCCTCCCACTGTGTGATGGGAACAGGAATGCACCGACGTGAATAACGAGAAGTCTACCGCGTTTAAACAATTTCGCAAATACTGTAACCAGTGGTGTGTCTGTCTGTCTGAGATTAGTGAGATTGTCGCGATTAGTGTTTCGTATTTTATGTATAACAATATGCCAAAGAAAGGTTTGAATACAAGCTACCAACATCACCCATCGCCCACAAAATCACCCACTGGACAGTACACAGCCACACCACTAAACGACAGGAAGATCCTCTACCTACCACCAGATGGCACTGTTTACTGGATTTGGAGGCCATTAGGAGATGGCATAATGGGGCCATGATGAGGCGAAATAGGGCGGAAGGACGATGGCTCAGCGAGGAGGAGAGAGGATAGGTCAGCCGCCATCGTTGAGAATGATTTGATTGGCGATACTCAACAGCGATACTTCATAAAGCTAGTTCAAGCAAGTTCGAAAATCAGTAAAAAACCGTGAGGACGTGAAAAAAAGTGAAGAAGGAGAGTGAGGTGCAGAACCATCCAGGTAAAATTCCCTTCTAGAGAAACACCTTCTCGATCGCCAATAACCGCCATCGTGATTCCCCATTATGTCCACAGGACCCCGTAGTTTACCGCTGGCAATTCATCCACGGCGTGGTCAGACCCCGTAGTGTCCGTCATTCGGCATACGGCGCGGTTAGACACGGAGCATCTTCCGATACGAAGGTATCCGGGAACACAAACAAACGGCCCATCGCCACGAGTATAATGAGGAGAGAGAGAGATCGAAGACCCGTCGCGGAAAGTACCGAAGTACGCGACCGGCTTGCGAACCAAGTTGAGGGTTCAAAGTCGAAGGAAAGGAACCGACTGGGCTTTGAAAAGTGCCCAGAAGGAAGCTGAGGAAGGTGAAGGAGTGGCTGAGGAAGGAACAACAGCGGGCCCGCGCTGAAGAATAAGAAGAAACGTCAGGCGAAACGAGGTAGGAGATAGCCAATAAGAAAGTGGGACGAAAGTGGGACGAAAGTGGGAACTATAAAGGTACCTATAGCTAAACAAGTGTTGTGTGTGTTGGATATTCGAGTGTTTCCTTAGCCGTGATTTTCGAGCGCGCATGCCGACCCTGAGGTAGTGTAGAGGGGGGTCTCATAAATGCTCTGCAAGGAGTACCCCATCCGGTTACAATACGGTTCCCACGAATACTTTGAGCGGTATACGGAGCTAGAGGAAAAGTTTAAGAGCTTGGTCAGGCCAAAAAACGCGGTTACTAGCGTCGGTTCGTCGGAGGGCTATCGCGAGAGACTTCCATGCAAACGCTCTGGAATGTCGGCAGGAGAATGCGTAACGCGGCATCGTCGGTCAACGAGAACAAGGAGTACTTTAACAAGTGGATTTTCCGGTTCGATGCAACACTCGCGATCCGCCGCTGGAAAAGGATGACATGGACTCCCCGTTTTCGATGGTTGAATTCTCAATTGCTCTTCTTTCATGCAATAACTCGGCTCCGGGAATGGATCGAATCAAGTTCGACCTGCTTAAGAACCTCCCAGACATCACAAAGAGGCGATTGTTGAACTTGTCCAATCGATTCCTGGAGCTCAACGTTGTTCCGAATGATTGGAGACAAGTGAGAGTTATCGCCATCCTGAAGCCCGGTAAACCCGCGTTGGATCATAATTCGTATCGTCCCATCGCGATGCTGTCGTGTATTCGGAAGCTGTTAGAAAAAATGATTCTTCTTCGTCTGGACAAGTGGGTCGAGGCGAATGGCTTACTCTCAGATACGCAATTTGGATTCCGTAGGGGCAAATGAACGAACGACTGCCTTGCGTTGCTTTCAACTGAAATCCAATTAGCCTATGCTGAAAAACAGCAGATGGGTTCAGTTTTCTTGGACATTAAGGGGCGTTTGATTCTGTTTGCATCGACATCCTTTCGGACAAACTCCATGCGAGTGGGCTTTCTCCGATTATCAACAATTTCGATTTTAATTTGTTGTCCGAGAAACGAATGAGCTGAAAGAAGCAACTCGGAAATTGCACGAATCAGCTACATGGGTTTTCCACAAGGCTCATGTTTAAGTCCCCTCCTGTACAATTTCTATTTATGTCAAAGACATTGATGATTGTCTAGCCGAAAATTGCACGCTAAGGCAGCTTGCAGATGACGGGGTGGTTTCCGTGGTTGGACCAACAGCACCGGACCTGCAAGGACCATTGCAAGATACCTTGGATAATTTGTCTACTTGGGCAATGAATCTGAGTATTGAATTCTCTCCGGAGAAAACAGAGATGGTTTTTTTTTCTAGGAAGCTTTATCCAGCACAGTTTCAGCTTCAACTTATGGGTAGAACAATCACTCACAGCATGTCGTTTAAGTATTTAGGTGTCTGGTTCGATTCCAAGTGCACTTGGGAAAACACATAGCGTATCTGAAGCAGAGATGCCAACAGCGAATCAATTTCCTTAGTTCCATTACCGGCACTTCACGGGGAGCCCATCCGGAAGATCTGATAAGACTCTACAAGACCATCATTCTCTCGAATGGTACGGTAGCTTTTGCTTTCAATCGGCGGCGGGGACACACATATTGAAGCTCCAAAGGATTCAATATCGTTGCATTCGAATCGCGCTAGGTTGTATGCAATCGACGCATACCATGAATCTTGAAGTTCTTGCGGGCGTCCTCCCCTTAACAAATCGTTTTGTGCATTTATCGTTCCGGTTCCTCATCCGCTGTGAAGTCATGAACCCGCTGGTGATCGAAAACTTTTTTTTTGTCGATCTTGTTTTCCGTGCTGAGCACCAATGCTACCGACGTGCCAGGAAGGCAGCTCCCACACCTGGACCCTACCTATCGACCCATCAACTCATGAACCGGGGACCAACTGCTTTACTTCCCATCCGAAGGAAGGCGTGATCAGAGATGTTATGCCTCAGAACATCCCGGCGGCGCCGACTGGGAAAACAAACATTTGTAGTAGTAGAATTTTGACTAGAATTGGCTACGTTCATCGATTTGCTTGGGACCAATAGGCTAGTCAAGTAGTGAGCCAAGTTAAAATCATTAGTTTCTACCGGTTGGTATTCCCTAATAAACGGGTACCATACTCTAACGATATCATAGATGGTACGACCATCCCACATAAAGTTGGGATGATATCCCGAATTGGTGGTTAGGCGCTTCTTATGGTTATTGTTTATGCGGGTTACGCTTGCCGACAGCAACTTGTGTACCTGTGGAAACGGTTATCACGACATCGAGCATGTTGTTTGGTCCTGCTCCTTGCATCATGAGGCGAGATCCATTCTGTGTGATTCCCTTAGGGTCCGAGGAAAACAACCATTTAAGCCAATTAGAGACGTCTTGGCTTGTCGTGATATCGACTTTATGAAGTTTATTTACGATTTTCTTAAAGCTGTTGATGTATGTGTTTAATGTTTTGTGTTTTAGTCATCCTTTACGTTTAAGTTTTAAATGAGTTCAAAATGCTTTCCCTTGTCCTCCCTCCAAATGATCAATAAATGTAATCCCTAATCTCGAGTAAGCCGCGAGTAATCGGCCCCCGTTCTACTAACATTAGTTGTAAGTAATGATATTCACTCTGTAAAATTCACCAGTATGTAAACACAATCATGTAAAAAATATTCGGCTCCGCAAAACTAACGCATTTGAGCCTTGACAAATAAATGGATTATAAAAAAAAGATAAGCAGATAAGGTAGTGGAATTAAATGGAAATTACTAATCCTTCTCTCTCTCTCTCTCTCTTTATCGAATACATCTATGATTTTGGCGTTACCAATTCAATTATATGTTTGGTATGATACTTTAGTTCAATATCTACAACACAAAGCCTTTAAGAGCGCAAAGTATGCACCCTTCGTTCTCAAAAAAAAAAAGAAGCACTGCACGTGAATCAAACATTCCATTCTTTGTTTGCCCGCATCTGTATGACGAAGTAAATTCGTAGTAAATATGACGAAGTAAATCCGTAGTAAATGAACGTTTTTTTTTTATACGGCGTTGACCCCATAGGTCGAATTTGTAACAAGAAGCAGTGTTGTATGATCAACCAAATATAAGTAATGTGTAGTAAAAACTTGTAATTTTGAATTCAAAATCCGTTCAAAAAAGATAAGTAAATTGCGGGATGTGCTTAATAGGCTGAATATTAGATCTATGCCCTACTTATTTCCGTTTTGTCATTCAAATTCTTGCGCTTTTCTCGTTTTTTTTCTTCTTATTATTATTTGGATTCTCGGCTTTTTCGCGGTTTTCCCAATTTTCCGGTTTACTGCTCACCCTGAAATATTTTTCATGTATCCGATACAGATGAGTTGGAAAAGATGATTCCTTGTGTTTCACCTAAGGTAAAGAGCCCATATAAGTCAAATTTACTACATGGAAAGAATTTATAAGACAATTATAAAAAAAATAGCATTGATGAACAGTGTTTTATTCATTGAATTGTACATTAAAGAATACTTTCAATTCCTTCTTTGTAAGGTTTCCTTCCTTCTGATAAATATTTGACTGAGTCAGAGTTTCACAGACTGAAAATTAGAAGAAAAAATCAACCTACTAATCCGACAACTTTTTAATCATATTAATGTGGAACATTTTTTTAATACTGATTTGCAGGATGAAATGGCAAAAGCAGACGCATTTCTGGTTGTTTATTCCGTGGTTGATAAAGCTACATTCAGTCGAGCGGAACAGCTGCTAAATATGCTACACGACATGGACCTTTCCCGTACTCGTCCAATTATTCTTGTTGCCAACAAAATTGACCTGGCCCGATCGAGGGCCGTGTCATCTCAAGGTAAGATCAAGGAAGAAAAATTAAAATTCACATAAAATATGCGAAATATACTACTTATTTTAGATGGAAAATGTTTAGCCTGCACTCATAGAATCAAGTTCATAGAAGTTTCAGTAGCAATTAACCACAATGTAGATGAACTACTAGCTGGAATTCTTTCTCAAATTCGTTTAAAGAAAGAGCAATGCGCAACACAGGTAAGTTCTTCAATAGCAATTACTTGGGGTCAACATTACTACCCTATACTCTCCACTACTCTTTCGGATTGAGGCCAACAACTGTGCAAAATTTGAGCAAATTAGGGTATTATCTGGATTTGCGGGAGAATTTTAATTTTTTATGGGCTAATTATAAACTATACAAAACTATAAATTTGCTTGTCAAAAATTCAAAAAATGCTGAATTTTAACCTAATCTATAACACAAATTGATTCGACTTCTGTTTAAAAAGTTATCAAACTTTTACTTAGACCAAATGCTTCACTCATACCTACAAGCTCGTAATACGCCTATAAGTAGGTGACGACGTGCCGAGCAATTGCCCTATAATAAAATAATAACTTTTTTTCTCAGAAGTTTAAACGCCTTATACAAAGTTGTTTTGCATAATATTCCAAATCATTTCCACTGAGATTGCTACAGTACAGTTGAGTTTTTGCAAGCAAATTATTAGTTTCGTGTCATTTTCCATACATTTTTTCATACAAAATTTAAAATTCTTCCGCAAATCCAGATCATAACCATATTAGCTCAAATTTTGCACAGTTGTTGGGGGCATCAATGTGCATCGAAAGAGCAGTGGGGAGCATACGGTTGTGATGCATCATATAAACTTGACACACCCTAATGTTTATACCTGATTGATGACTTCATTCAAATATTTAATTTCAGGGCTGTAAAGAATCCTCTTCTCCGCACTGGTATAAAAATCGCAATGTAGTACGTGCATCCATGAAAGCTCGCCAAATGATAACATGGATTTTCGGGAAGGAAGACACAAAATTTAAAAACTGTGAAAATCTCCAAGTTCTATAAGCTTACCAACTGACCATCATTTCGTCAAACTATGAAAACTTCCTCAGAAGCACAACTTTTCGTCGCTATAAACTTATCGAGTAGCAATGTCGAACATTTATATTTACATCTATATATTACTAAGTTTTTAGCCTAATAATTTATTTTAAGGACGAAGTGCACGGAAGCCCTAAAGTAGCCAATCTATACAGCGAGCGTATTGAGAAAAGGCTTCTGTTTCCATCTCGTCTGGATAATCATTTAGTTTTATTAATAAAAGTGCCTTTTCTAGAGATCTATACACCAACAATCAAAAACACATCCAAAAAGTCGAATCACAGTAGAGAGTTTTGTAAAATGAGACCAGCTAAAATAACAGAGTAAAATTTTCTAAAAATGTTCTACATATAAAACAATACAAAAAATATACGCTTCAGTGCGTGTTTTTCTGAACTAAGATTATTCTATATTTGATTAAAGTGTCATCTTTTTCTATGATGTGAAAGCTGATACAAAATGTTATAGCCCATTCATATATCTGTTGGATCCATTTAAACATAATTGGCTTTCGTCAATGGCATTTTCATTTCCAGCTTTAACAGCTACGACAAAAGATAAGAAAAAATAGCACGTAACCCATTTACGTGGTTGTAATATTCAAGCTACGCAAAATATCACAATTTAACGGAAAGAATGTTTTATGTGTCTCCTTCAGTAAATGTTACCGTTACTTAATCATTTTGAATTAATTGCAGGGTTTTGATTACTGAAATTAAACATGATATAAAAACAAGCAAACAAACAAAATTACATTTAAATGAAACGCGTACGTTAAAATACACCTACGGGATGCTAGCTTCTTCATTTGGAATTTGTATATGTTCAAAATTTATAGGTCTCTAAAAACAAGAAAAAATCTCCAAGAAACATCTGGTCAAAACTCAATTTTGTGTTAGTTATTAAATTTATAATACACAGAAATAAAATTCTGAATTATACTGGCGATGCTATAACCTTCCTTTTCACCCAAACTAGCAACTTGAAGGAAATGTTGCTTACAAATATGGACGGTTGCAAACAATATTTGGAATATTTCAAGAAATGACTCGTAATTTTACACGATATTATCTGTTTCTTTGGTAACAAAACACGCCGAAAACGACGCAGAAATCGTCGCCATAGGAATTTGTATGGCGATGATTTCTGCGTCGTTTTCGGCGTGTTTTGTTACCAAAGAAACAGATAATATCTAAAGTTGTATAATATATGACGCTCCATTAATGTGCATAATACTAACTTATATTTACACTACTTTTTGTAACTGTGTACATTATACGATGTCTTCTAAGATACACAAAGTTTCCCAGTTTTCAAATATTTTAACCGAAAAGATAAATTCAAACGAAATATTCACAAATTCACATTCAAACTGCGCGACAAAGGAAAAGGGTTTACATCAAATTGCTCTTGCACATCTCACAATCTCAGCGTTAGCTGGCAATGCTAGATCGCTGCTCATGTCACCATTAACGTTGCACCACTGACAATTGGCGTGACTGCCCTGATAAGGGCATTCCAGGAGCCCTTTTCTCGACACATTTCATCGACGACATTCTCCGCGTTAAGGACAGCACAATCGACTTGCACACAAACCAGTTGCTAAGGTGTATCCTCCACATTTCCACACTCCGGACAGAGGGGTGACCTTTCATGTCCGAACCGATCTAGGTTCAAGCAACCGCGACGAGATAGGAATTGCGTCAGTATTAACGTATGAATCACCCTACCGTTCTCCGCCGAGTCTCATTCCTGCTGCCACTTGGCCATCGACTTCGCTCTTACTCCTTCCGTACTCCTCTAGTCTCCTTTCACTTATAGCACTCGCTGTCCTCCACTAGGGAGATGCCGATAGGGATCGGGATCATTCCGGCGATAACGCATACTGCTTCAACTTCACGTGATTTCGCTTGGTTTCCAGCGCTGCAACCCAGGCTGGACCTCCGTACGTCATAATCGTCGTAGATACACTAGCCAGAGGACGCCTCTTGCTCTTGACACTCGATCCAGAGATGTATGGCATGATTCTGGCTACCACGTTGATGGCCTGTTGAAGTTTAACCGGTTGTCGATCACCTCTTCCAGGTATTTCAGCACGCACTTTGAGGATATGGCATGATTTCTGCCCACTGCACCGCTGACCAATATCCCAAGTAACATTGCTAGTTTTATAGAGGTTTTATAGCATTCTACAAGTCTAAATCATGATCTCCATAACCCTCATAAAACAAGAATTGTTGCGGATTATCTTTTCTAAGAGTTTTCCGAGTGTATCCAGCAGGCATATAGGATGCTGGATACCCCGGCGGATTTACAACACTAGCTTCTGTATCTTCTAATCGCAACTCTATATGCGTCGCCCCAATGGTTGGCATCAGCGTCTCGGCACAGCTACTTACAACAGTTTGATTTGCTCTGCTTTATTGCTCGTTTTTTCCGGCCCTTTCCGCTCGGAATACTACGCTACGCTCCTTTTGGCTCTGAGACAACTAGAACGGCGGGTGCTGAGCGACTCGTTCCATCAGTCTGCTCGTCTGTTCTTTGGCTCTAGTTTTCTCGGCATGGATGTGTCCTGGGTTGGCATGCTCACTTTTTTTACGCAAATTGCTCTTTTGTTAGTAACATTTCACTCAGTTGATGAAACTTGGTTTTACTTCAAGCAATTGATAGAGTAGAATCAGAGTTAACAGGAGAAACGTACAGAGTAGTTAAATCAAAACATTTAAATTCACACCAATGAGTTTTTTCCATGAAAGTCTGATATGAACAGCGATTATTTCTCTTTTCGTTTTTGTAACGCAAATTTGAGAACTGGTTTTCGTCTAAATTGATATCAATTGTGTTTTTCTATCAGTTGTTTCAAGAAAACCCATGTTTCGTCAAGCTAGTGCTGAGTTATTAACAAATTAGCAATTTTGGCGGCAAATGCCCTTGATATAACATTTCCGTCAACTCGACCACGTTCAGGTCCGGTTCCTAGACCTGTTAAGTGCTCAAATAACACAAAGTTGAGAACCGGCGTAGTCTGGGCGTAAAGTGGGAAGGTAATAGAGCCAAAAGAAAATTCAAACAGATGATAAAGAAAAAGAATAAAGTGCATATCACCATAACTGATAAAATTTGTTTACTAATAGTCGTAGATGATATTTTATTCTTCAAAAATCACTCATTTAAAATTGATTTCATACAGAAAAGGAACTTGGAAACTTGTTCGTGTTTTTGAAAGACCTGTTGATCCTATAAATAAACAAATTCCAGAAATTAACGGCCGATATTTATGCGTTAGTTATTCTCAGTATCATGCTCACAGTAATAAAGAAATATGTGAGAATTGATAATGATAGTGAAAAATAGTTAGACTAAGCGGAAAAATAAACTAACCAAATGACCAAACGTCGATGTTTTCTTATAGAATAAATATACAAAACACAGATACGGATACACCACAGAAAAGCAAATATTTGAAATGTAAGTTACTTGTATACATATTCAATCTTAAAATAATCTAAATCAAATCAACATTTATAACTCAAAATATAACAACCCATTCAGATACAACATTATATGGAGTGGTTGCGTTGAACAGCACCAGTGACCTTTAAAAGCAAAGCAAGTAACAAGATGCTACAAAACAATAAACTAAAATACAATAATTATATACACAGTACAATTGTAACATTTTGTTAATAAAATTTTCAATTGCTGACTTTCTATATAATTTCAGAATATCCAAAAGTCCCAAGCATGCTGTGCACAGACGCAAGAAAAAAAAATGCACAGCCATGATCTACCGTTCTCCAGAAATGTGCTTCTCGCTTCTCATAGTCTTGAATTTTGTTTCATCTTACTTAAATTGTGCTCACGTGTTGCATAATTCTATTCATCGTGTTTGTCGTTTTTTACTAAACTTTCCCCAATTAAAACATAATGTACATAGGGTAGAGAACTACTTCGGCCTAATCGCCTATTTTGGGCCTATCGAGCAGAAAACTTCAAATAAATCCACGATTTCAGAGTTAGCAAGTCAATTATGCGTTTGGTACGATGCTTTAGTTAATAAGCTACGGAACGAAGTCAATGAGAACGCGTGATATGAAGGTTTGCACCTATTATTCCCAGAAACAATAGAAGCGCTCCGACCAAATCAATTTTTATCTTCATCCGATAGGCCGAAGTGAATTCATTTGCGTTTCAATGGCGTTTCAATGCGTTAGGCCGAGTTAAGAATCCGTAGGCCGAGTTTGGCGTCAAGAAGCAGTGTTAGACTTTTGACAATATCTCAACGATTGGCTTCTTTTTATCAAATCTTACGGTACGTACGGAAAGGTAAATAAATTTGGAAGCCATTAGTAATAATAACATTCCGTTTGGTGCTAAACTACGCTAGATTAAGAAATACTAAGTGCTAGTTGTGCTTAAAAGGCCGGAAATGGGGTAGTTAACCCTATTTATTTATTTATTTATGTATTTCATTACAATTATTGTTCTTTAAGGGTATTGGGTAAATACATATTCGTAATCTGCATTGAAAATGGAACCCAAACCCAAAATGTTATCAATTTGGGTATACTGGAACTATTTTAAATAAGTTCGATTACATTTGCAAAAATCACCTTATTAGCGCCCCTCGGTGTCACTTTGTATGGGAGCGAGCTGTCAGTTTGTCAGTTTAGTGTCAAACAGTGAAGTTGTTATTTTGCTTTAAATCTTAATTTAAAAATCGAGATGAAAGTGTGTGGGTTCGAAAAAATATCGCTGTGCTCAGAAAATGAAGCTCTATCGGATAATGTATAACAATACATTTTTCAAAATTAAAGAACCCAATTCCTGCCGCCTTTGTTGTATATGCTAGATTGTCTTCTTTCATCGAACTGCGCTAATAATAATAACCATAAGAAGGAGCTTAACGACGTGTTCGGAGTATCATCCAAACTATTTATGGGATAGTTCGACCATACGGGTTACCGTTCGTCTATGGTATTTGTTTATTAGGGTGTGTGTCGAAAATATCCGGAAAATCCTAGGGAAAATCTTAAAACGGTCGTGGCGATGCAAAGAGAAAGTCGATGAAGAGAATCAATCAATGTATATAGGATCAGAGACGTTGATAGAGACGCGCAAAGAAAATTTTCGTCAAAACAGCAGCAACGTTGTTGAGGGTTATTTTGGCAACCATGTTTCTTCGAGTGGTTTCAAATGACTTTCATACAGTGCCGCAATGCATTTTGCATAAATAAAGCGGAGACTAGAGTCGAATGAGGCGAATGAGAACGACCCAAATTTGAGTTTCCTTTGTAAAACTTAAAAAATCTGCCGGAAAATGAGGAAATTGACCAAAATTGTATTAAGTCTCGGAGTAGTACCAATAGACTGAGTGAATCCAATCTTTACTTTTCTCAAATTCAGGATTTTTTCCCTGGAAAATTCTGGGAAAACCTGGGAAAATAAGAGGCAAATTGTACTCATTGCTGGGTTCCTGCACTTTTGGCGATTATGAGTGAACTAAACTCAAATTTGGGTTGTTCTCATTCGCCCTATAGAAGAGACAATTTTTCGACGGTGCCGTCAACGCCAAAAGAATATTTTTTTTCTTTTTTTTTTGTTTTTTTTTTTCTTTTTTTTCAGTCCGCATCGTGCTCTATTGCCGTGCGGATCTATTTGCTTTTTGCTGAAGGAAGTGTTACTACTACCTAAAGCTACAACAAATTTAAACAGCACTTTTCAGTGCTCAACCTGTAAAATTTTTCTACCTAGTTCAACTCTTATTCCTCTTCGATCTTTGTTTGGACCCTACCCGAGGTAATCCTTCTTGGATATCGATTTGGAAAATTCCTCTTCGATCCTTCAGATTCTCATAGTAATCTGCTTGGAAGTCGATTTGGATAAAAGTTAACTGCCGACATGGCGCCTAAACGCAAAAGAAAGGGGCAAACTCTTGACCCCCCTTCTGATGATCCATCATCCAAGAAAAATTCTAGTAAACTTTCCCAGCTTAATGCCAAGAAGGAATAGATTCCCCCTATTGTGATAACCACTTCCGATTTCCATGCTCTTCGCATTTTTGAACTTTTGAATTTCGTGAAAGTTAAGT